CATAGGGCGCCATTGCTATTGTGGCAGTCTAAGTTCGCCTCACGGTTCTGTAGTCTAGGCCGGCGGCATGGCTGTTCTGGTGGATCTTTCCTCGTGCGGTATAGCCATGTTCATCACTTCTCATATATGAAGTCTCCCATGCTTGTCGCTTTCGTGCGCTCCGTTGGCCGCCGTTTGGTCATTATATGGCTCCAGCGACTGTGTATGCATATGAAAGGGAGTGGCTTTCTATCGGCCAGGCTCCCATACCGTCCAGCTGATTGTTGACGCAATAGGGGTGATTTTTGGTGGCAGAAGTATGAGGTGTTGCCAGGCCAGCGTTCGCTTTTCTCGCATTCGAGGTCTCTCTATCAGCAAAAAAACAGTTGTGGTCGCAATTGAGCCGACCATAGGGGTCTGCTATACTTGACTGCTCCTGATCTTTTATAGTTGCGGGCTGTGTGGTGGGTTGGAAAAAAAAAAAAAAGCACAAAAAAGAATGGACGTCCCGGGAGAGGATCGAACTCTCAACCTCACGATTAACAGTCGTACGCGCTAACCTTTATATTGAATTAGTAACTGATTGATTGGATGAATTTGATGAAGGGCAAGCTTACCAATTGCGCCACCGAGACGACTCGTTGGTGCCGGCGACGAGATCAGGCATCGTCAATGCTCGATTTTAGAGGGTGATGGAAATTGGACGACGCCCACCCATGCCCTACAGTCCGAACAATGGTCTGAATACCTATGCAAACTGCGTGTTAGTGTGGTATATATATACTCATTTTTACATATAACAATTGATATGACACTGTATTATTTCTGTAGCTATATGCTGTGGCCGACATTTCTTATGACTCTCAGAACTCATACATTGTGTTGATTCTATATATCCGTCGCTGCGATGTGACAATATCATACTACTACTACCCGCAAATACAAATGCTATGGAAGCCAATGCACAGGCATGTAATCGGGCCAAGAAATGCAGACAACTGCAAATTGATACACACCCCGGTACTCAAGGGACCGAGAATACGTGATGATGTTCCAGATGATCACCAAGGTGGAGTTAGTTACCCACGTACGTAGTCAAGCCCATCAATCAATTCATTGGTTCAAACATAGTTTCTGCCAAACCTCTAAAATCCATCGTGGTCTACCGAACGATCCTTTTCTAGGACACAGAGTATGAAGTAACTTTTAGTGATGAAGATATTGAATGGCATTGTCTGGTACATGTATGTGAATTAATATACAATGCACGCGTAATGTCAGCAGCACCGAGATAATGTACATCAAGTTTGACAAGCAGGTGAATGAGTAAATATAGTCACAGTCTGAAAAAAATCTATATAGTTGTATGAAACCTCGATTTTCGACCCTCACACATTGTGCTTTTTGAGAAAGTCCTGAATGAAGTCAAAAGCACCCGGAGCCGCATAATGCAAGTTCAAGGCGTGACCTGCAACAGGGGCCACATAGGAAGCAGTATTTGCCTCTGACAATTCCGGATACAGCGCAGGCACAAGACCAGCCAAAATATTGGTCGGAGAACTGCAGTTTCCGTTACAGAAAGGCAAATCTTCATTTCCAGCAACGACGGCAACGGGGCCTTGGAACTCGCTTGTTGCATTGACAACATGGGTTAATGTGAAGAGTTCACCCAGCGTGAAGCTTCCCTTGGTGGCATCGGCCAGCGATAGGATTTCAGGGTCAAAACCCGGGTCGTAGAAAAACGCAATCTGATTCGACACGGACGTCCCAGCGACAAGGTATCCAGCAGAAAATCCACTGAAGCGGTACGGCTGGGTTTCCGAGACAATTGCTGCATTAAGACCCAGGCCAAAGCCAGGCAGTCCGTTCGAATCGAGTGCAAATCCCGTCAGCACTGCGGCGTCGAGGGTCTTGGGGTAAGCCGCGGTGACACCCTGCGTCAGGATGCTCCCAAACGAGTGGCCTACACCAACAACAGTCGAAAAGGCGCGGTCACCAAGGGTACCCTGGCGAAGTTTGCTTGCCAGCGTCTTGAGAATCTCCAGCTCGAGTGGTGATTGCACGACATTCAATGGGTCTTCCTTTGACGATGCGCCAACGCCGAAACGGTTGTACAGGAATGTGGCATACCCTGCGGCCGCGGCGGTGTCGACGTAGCTGTATCCCGAGGCAAAGTCCCAGTAGTGGCGGTCCACGCCAATACCGTGCGTGAGGATTTGAACCTTGGTTGTCTTTGAGGTTTCGCCTGCAGGCAGACAATATGTCGCCTCGATATCGTAGCTGCCGCTGACCCGTTGGGTGCCGCTCGTGAGGGATTTCAGGTAGCCATCCCCGCCTGACGACCACAGGCTGACGAGTGTCTGGGTTACTTGCGACTGGTTAGAGGGCAAGTTGTACGCGAACTTGAGGTTTTTGTCGGTAGTCGCGTTGACTTTAACGGTGCCGGAGACGCAATGGGCTGATCCGCCGTTGGAAACGTGAACGGTAGGATTCGCCAACCCGGTCACATTGGGGAATTCAAGTCCAGCAGCACCCGAGAGAGGAGAGGAATTGACGTTCTGTGCCAATGCAGCAGCACCGAGCAAGGCAGAAGTAAGGGTCTTCATGGTTGTTGTTGGGCTAATCGATAAAGGCGAGGAGCGAGGATACGAGCTGATTTGGATTCCTTCAGAATTGTCTTTCGAAGAATATGTTTTCAATCTTCTTATATACTACCCAATCCACATAATCGTGAGCACATAATTATGGCATCGAACCTCGCAAGAAATCCCCATTCGGGACAATTCCAAATATCAAAAACATGGGCAGCCGAGGGCCGCATGTCCGGGTATTTGCCGGCCTGACAGGAGCTGCATGCTGATATTGATCTAACAGGCCACTGGAACGAGTGTAATTATGCTTTGTCATTGGAAAGTTTCGGCAGCCTTCAACTCCCAACTGTTTCAAAGCATGTTCCCCACATATTCAGCCCCAAATTAGAAAAGATAGCGAGGCGGTAGAACACCGATCGTATATTTGTCATGAGCCTAGAACATCTGAACGAACTGACTATCAAAACCGATTAATCTCTATAGCGATCTGATTAGCGGATCCTCAGATAAATCATGAAAGATGGCACTATAGGAATCAGCAATTCGCAACGCTTTGAACACTCCACGATTGAATAAGTCCATCACAGATTTAGCAGGGTTATTGCACGAAAAAACCAACAAGTCGACAAAGGTTTGGAAGCACGTCATTAGGTATAGCGAGACATTGAGACTGTTCTATGCGCTGTTCCCGTATAGGGCTAATCTAACCCAATTAGGTATGTGGTTTGACTGTAGGTTGCAAGTTGGAACCGTTCCAGAAGCTCCATATTACCAATTGCCCGCGTTTCCGCATTATCAGCGCTGGGGTATGCGCGAAATGACAAATCTTGGTTACCAGGAAGGAAAAGTGTGCTTTGTTGGCGGGGCCCGGAGGGACCCGGAGTGTATGGAGAAGCGGAAGTTTATGCAGTATGCGATTGCGACTTCATCTGGCTGCTTGATGTCCATAATGTTGGCAGTTGTGACGGCGGACTGGTCAGAGCTGGTCTTGAAAGTCCTTCGAGGAGACTACTTCGCCACTGACATAGATCAGTCTGCGGCTTTGGAGTGCTATGGCCTCCCTTTCCTTCGCCAGATAGACCGCCATTGACGCGAGATTTTCCCAAAAGTCGCTCTTCTCCTTTCCCAGATCATTAAACATGCCGGTTTTTCTTTTTCAGACTGCATCCAATCTGATAGGATACCATTTATCTTGCTGAAGCTTCACTCTCCGAAAAGCCTGCATCGATCCTGATCGTTCCCGGAGTAGCTTCACATTTTGGTCTCGCTCCACAATAGCTTTGACGGTGTTGCGCGGTGCTGTCTTATCTCCTTCAATTCGGATGTTCTCCGTCTCGCCCTGGAGTCCCAAGGCAGTTGTCGACGATTTGCTGGAGCTGGATTGGATGTTGCAGAAGTTTGATAGCATTTGGGGCGCTATGTTGGTGGCTAGTCTTATCCCTGATAGACCCGGCTCCGCCCGGGTTGCCATCGTTGAAGACGATACCATCGATGATGATGTTGCAAGTGATGCCCAACTTCTTCCCGCGCAGGCGTTAACCTGTGACGTCTGGCTTGTAGACATGCCGTTGCGAAGATCGCGTCCTATCGCGGTGAGTTCTGATATTTCCTTTCGTAGTTCCTGGATTCCCGAGGATTGAGGGATTCTGTCGGGTTGTGTTGCTGAACTTCTAGTGCAAGTATACCCAGTATGGGTACACCTATCTAATACAAATGCGCACTTTCAGAGTAAACACTGTATACAATTTGTCCGTCGCATTTGCAGATAGCGAACTACATTACAATCACGAGGTATACCATACAATGAGCCCATGCCCGGAAAGCAGACGCCCAATAATACTGAGGAGTTCCATGTCCAAGTTTGATATAAAGTTGGTAACGACTCTTTGTCCATACATGTAGAACAAAAAGAAAGAGCAGGATGAGCCATGGTTCCACTGGATTTTGCGCCGGCTATGCTGTCCAAGCAAAAAGAGAAAAAGAAAAAAGATGCGTCCCGGGAGAGGATCGAACTCTCAACCTCACGATTAACAGTCGTACGCGCTAACCTTTAATGCTGAATTAGTAACTGATTGGGTATGATATAGTGATGAAGGGTAAGCTTACCAATTGCGCCACCGAGACTAGTTGTTGTATTTGGCCTCCTTTTAGTGTATCAAAAGGCAAGGCAATTACCAGCACGATCACTATCATGATACCCCCCGATACAGATGGTTAGAATGAATACTAAGCAACTTCAATATTTGCACACACACTCATAGGAGTGCACAATAAAAGAAGGTAGAATCGGTTTTATCTAGTGTATAAAATACGGAGACACCCAGTGGTAGAAGGACCATCAGTCTTTACTTCTTCAATATCTTGCCATCAAGTATCACTTTGATTCCCTGGTCTCATGATGCAGTGCTTCACCTACACGAGATAGCGACCCTAACTTGTGTAGGATATCTTCCCTCTTCCCTTGGAGATATTCCTAGGAAGAAACCTACGAGGTTGTCCCTCAGTCCAATCCTCACTCTTGCCATCGAGGAAATCGACCAACGAGTTCAATATCCTGATGTTACAACCCCCACTCATGGCCACCCAAAACTCTTCTTGCTCACTTGACTCCTTGATCTGGTAACGTACCTTGATGCCAATACGATTTGCCGGGTCATCTGGCTCAGATTTGGATAAGCATGCGTTGGGATGTCGGAATCCTTGAGCAACTAGATCGCATTTGACAAAGACAGTCTCAAAGTCGGCCTCTCGAGGTATATACAGTTGTACTCCTCTAAAGTAGACCCTTCCTACCTTTGCCGCGTTACTTATTTTCGTGCACGAAAAGAGACTACCTAGGGATAGCTTTCTCTGTAGTTCACCATTCTTCCACCTGTTACCAAGGCGACTGTCGTGAGGAATAACAGCAAGATTGATCTCTGGAGTGCCATACCTGAATCTTCTTTCTTCAGTCAATCCTTCTCGAACGGCTGTTAATTCACCGACAATTTGGAGAAGCCATTCTTCACCGCGCACGGAAGACAGCAATCGTTCTATGGGTTTTCGATATACAGTGATATCATCAACACACAGGGTAACTTCGCAGGGAAGGAAATAAATCCTGATTTCCTTCTGTAGAGCCAAGATTCTCTTCGCCTCGGTAGCTGACATGCGGAAGAGCAGTGAAAACCCATGTTCAGGTGCAGTAAGTTTGACATAGCCACTCCGAAGAACGACAACAGCCTTGCCATGAAACAGATACTGCCCATATATGGAGCGAATATCTTCTTTACAGTTGCCGTTCTCCTGTTCCCGTTCTGAAATCTTTTCTGACTCTACTCGCAAAACATGTTTTCGGCGAGATATACTCATTCGCATACGAATTTTCGAAAGTGCTGCAACGGCGACAGAATTCCCATCTGAAGTAATAGTAGCCGGGTCCTGAAAGAGATACCTTCCAGCCCAGCTAAGAAATGAGGGGCTATACTCTGTCAATTTCAAAAATCGTCGTTCTTCTCGCTCCTTTCTGATATAGGAGTACATCTCCGCAAGAGGCGCAGACCTTTTTCTGCAAGGGCCGGCCTGAGAATACGTTCGACGGAAGGAAGTCGCATTATAGCTCCTTCCTGTCAGCCAAAGGAAAAAATTTAGCCCTGCATCAATCTGGGAAGCCATGGTTGCTCTCATTTCCGAGTTGGCAGTGAATCCTGCCGAAGGGTGACAGATATGAACGATCATACGGCATAAACAATCATTGCGAAAATCGAGGTCAAAATCTAGTGTGGCTGTAGTTGAAATTGGGTCTTCCAGGCATTTACTTGCGTGACCGAGGCTCTTTTTCAGATTTGACCTCGTGCATGCCGAACCTGTTATCAAGAATGGAAGAGATAACATCTCAAGGATATCAGTTGACATCTGGTCGTGAAGTGCCCTGAGTTGCTTAGGCCATTTCTTCAGAGGACAATCGCTTCTGTCAAGGTATGTTTTTTCTGACCTCCAGTGCCAGTCATACCCAAAAGCAAATTGTTCACTTATGCCTTTCTCCTGAAGTAAACTGATAGACGCGCTTCTCTTGTCCCAGAATTTCCTCGATAGATCACGGCCGGTTGCCAAATGCAAAGCGATTCCTAAATCAGCACTTACAGGCCCCCCTGGAATAGAAAGTCCATCACAACTTTGGTGGGATAGTTGCTGGTCCATTGAGTAGAATTCCTCGAGCCTCTGCATAAGCTTGGCTTGCATCTGTTCTTGGCTGTATGTCATGCTAGCTTGAGGGTTTTGTAAAAATATGAGTAGTTTGTCGAATTCATCTGAGGACAGAGCCCTAACAGCCTCGATAGAAAACCTTTTCGCGATAGAAATCCCACGAAGATCGTCAATGGTCTTTGTTTCTGTACTGTAAATCTCCGTTTCCAGGGGCACCTCTACTGGTGTAGCATTGGTAGTGCTGTAGCGCACATGGCATTGCACCAAGGCATTGAAGCACGCCGCAGGGTCCAAGTTCTGTTTAATTCCCTCCATTTTGTGTTTCATTTATTTTTGATGACTTTTACCACTTGAAATGGGCTTGGATATAGCTGCCTGAGTGCGGTCTGCTGCGATGCAGATCTACTCTATGAAAGGTAGACTCATGAGATAGCTGCGCAGTGTCACTAAGAGTGTTTAGTCGGATGTATTTGGCTCAAACTAAGTCTGGAAGCCTAGGGATCCGCGCTGATTTAGGAGATGGGGGAAATTTAAAGATGGGAAATCCCGGAATTTAAAGTTTAAGGGCATAAAACAGAAAGACGGAGATAACAGAAGTTCGCGAAAAGAAGCGGGATTGAAAACAAAATAGGGGATGGCTCCGTGACAAGTGTTTACTGAAATCTTCCCACTTGCCCAGCAGATGCGGTGAATTGAGATTCTCACGGCATGGTGATAAGGTGAGCAGTATTAAAATCCCAATGTCCGAACCTCACATGCTGGGACTGTAACCAAATAGTTAGTGATACATTAGAACTCAGCATAATAGCAATGGCCTATAATATCATGCATACAGCAGCATTCAGGTCACAAGGCCAATATTGGATATAGTACTAGATTCCCCGGCGGCCGATGTTGGCCACGCCTCTATCACGTGCAACCCCTCTATGATTACATTATCACGATAGCGCGCACCAACCCCGAAAGAGCAAACCGTAAACAGCGCTGGGCCCCGACGGCAAAACACCGCCCGCAAAATCGCTCCCCAGACGTCAATCAATCCCGCAACTGTTCTCTCGGTCCCCCCTCCCATGCACCTGATCGTCTAGTTCATGGGGCTGGATCAGAGTCGCAACAATGAGGATTACGGAGATTATTATTGACGTAAGTTCATGTTCTCCGCTGCCCGGAGAATGTGCGATCGCTGACTGTCAACACACAGGGCTTCAAATCGTACGCCGTGCGTACGGTGATCTCAGGATGGTATGCGCGGATTGAGATGCTTCCCATTGTGCAAATTGCCTACCGATGACATACCTAACACATATCACGTAGGGACGAATCCTTCAACTCCATCACCGGTCTCAACGGTAGTGGTAAATCAAACATCCTCGATGCCATCTGTTTCGTCCTCGGTATCACGAACATGTCCACTGTTCGCGCGCAGAACCTGCAGGATCTCATTTACAAACGTGGTCAAGCCGGTGTGACCAAGGCCAGTGTGACGATTGTCTTCGATAACCGCGACACCGCGAAATCGCCGATCGGATTCGAGGAATATGCGACCATCTCGGTGACTCGGCAGATTGTTCTTGGAGGCACGAGCAAGTACCTCATCAACGGACACCGCGCGCAGCAGCAGACTGTGCAAAACCTCTTCCAGAGTGTGCAGCTGAACATCAACAATCCCAATTTCTTAATTATGCAAGGTCGTATTACGAAAGTCTTGAATATGAAACCCGTTGAAATTCTGTCCATGATTGAGGAAGCGGCCGGTACACGGATGTTTGAGGATAGGAGGGAAAAGGCTGTGAAGACAATGGCCAAGAAAGAGCTCAAGTTGCGCGAAATTGAAGAGCTTCTTAAGGAAGAAATCGAGCCCAAGCTCGAGAAGCTGCGATCCGAAAAGCGCGCTTTCCTCGACTTCCAACAGACCCAGAATGACTTGGAGCGCTTGACTCGCTTGGTGGTCGCCCACGACTACCTCAGGGGCAATGAGAGGCTACGGGTTTCCGGAGAAGAATGCGAGCAAAAGAGGAACAAGGTGCAGGCGCTGGAAGATAATGCGGCCAAGCTAAAGAGCGAAATTGCTCACCTTGAGGAGGATATGAAGCGGGTCAGAGCAGCCCGCGATAAGGAACTACGGAAGGGTGGTAAATTTCAGGCTCTGGAGGATGAGGTCAAGTCCCACTCGCATGAACTTGTTCGTTTGACCACCGTTTTCGATCTCAAGAATGCCAGCATTGCTGAAGAGAAAGAAAAGAGGAAGGAAGTCCAGAGAACCGTGACGGACCTGGAGAAGGTCCTCAAGGAGAAGCAGAGGGTCTACGATAAGCTTCAGGCCCAGTATGATGCCGCTAAAGCAGAGCTTGACGCCCAGACAGCTGAAGTGGAGCAGAAGGAAGAATTGCTCCAGACCCTGCAGACTGGTGTCGCTTCCAAGGAAGGCCAGGAAAGTGGCTACCAGGGCCAGCTCCAGGACGCTCGTAACCGTGCCAACACGGCCGCCACTGAACAAGAGCAGGCCAAGCTCAAGATCGCGAACTTGGAGAAGAGGATCAAGGAAGAGGAGCCGCGCGCGAAGAAGGCCAAGGAACAGAACTCCGGTCTCCTGAAAGAATTGGAGGGACTGAAGTCGCAAGCCAAGAAGCTTGATTCAGAACTTTCTAGGCTAGGATTTGAGCCGGGTCGCGAGGAGGAGCTATACCAGCAGCAGACCGAACTTCAAAAAGAGATCCGTGAGCTGCGTCAGAGAGCAGACGGCCTCCAGAGGAAGGTTGCAAATGTCGATTTCAACTACAGTGACCCCCATCCTCACTTCGATCGTTCTAAAGTCAAAGGTCTGGTTGCGCAGCTCTTTAGTCTTGACAAGGAGAAGCTCCAAGCCGCTACGGCATTGGAGATCTGCGCGGGTGGCCGTCTGTACAACGTTGTTGTCGACACCGCTGAAACCGGTACCCAGCTGCTTCAGAAGGGAAGACTGAAGAAGCGTGTGACCATCATCCCCCTCAACAAGATATCCTCATTTGTTGCCTCGGCAGAGAAGATTGGAGCAGCACAGAGGATTGCTCCTGGCAAGGTTGATCTTGCCTTGTCGCTCATCGGCTATGACGAGGAAGTTACTTCGGCAATGAACTACGTCTTCGGTAACACCCTGATTTGCAATGATGCCGACACAGCCAAGCGGGTCACGTTTGACCCTTCCGTTCGGATTAAGAGTGTAACGCTCGAGGGTGATGTCTACGACCCATCCGGTACTCTGTCCGGAGGTAGTGCCCCTAACACGAGCGGTGTGCTTGTCACCCTGCAGAAGTTCAATGAGATTACTCGGGAGATCCGGAGCAAGGAGCGACAGCTGGCTACTGTGGAGGAAACAATGAGGAAGGAGAAGAAGAAGCTGGATGCTGCTCGTACAATCAAGCAAGAGCTGGACCTTAAGACCCACGAGATCAAGCTCACGGAGGAGCAGATCAGCAGCAACTCTTCTTCCTCGGTAAGTCCCACTTCCATGTTTCCTAGACGTATAACTGACGGAAACAGATCATTCACGCCGTAGAAGAGATGAAAGCGAACATCGAGCAGCTGAAGAAGGACATCTCTGATGCGAAGACTCGCCAGAGCGAAGCATCCAAGGATATCAAGCGCATCGAGAAGGATATGAGTGAGTTCAACGACAACAAGGACAGCAAACTTGCGGAACTGCAGTCTTCCCTGGACTCCCTGAAGAAGAGTCTGGCCAAGAACTCCAACTCGGTCAAGACCCTACAGAAAGAGCTTCAGAACTCCCGGTTAGAGCTGGAGCAAGTTGGCGGTGATCTGTCGGCGGCCGAGGAACAAAACGCTGAGGCCGAAAACACCCTCAAGGCTCAGATGGAAGAAATCCAGTCGCTGAAGAGAGAACAGGCTCGGATCAAGGTGGGAATATGCAGTCACGGCTTAATACCATCTGCTAATGATCTATAGGACGCCCATGATATTGCCCAGGCTCACCTGGAGGATGAAAGGGCCAAGCTGACCGGTTTTGATGATGAGTTGCGTGAACTCGAGCGGACGAAGCAGTCGAAGAACTCTCAACTTACGGAAGAGGGCTTGGAAGTCCAGAAGCTGGGACACCAGCTCGAGAAACTGCAGAAGGAGCAACAAGCTGCGGCGCAGACGGTGGCTCATATGGAGGAGGAGCATGAATGGATCGCTGATGAGAGGGATAACTTCGGACGGTCCAACACGGCATACGATTTCAAGAACCAGAATATCGCCGAGTGCAAGTCGACACTGCGCAACCTGACGGAGCGATTCCAGGGCATGAAGAAGAAGATCAACCCCAAGGTGATGAACATGATCGACAGCGTCGAGAAGAAGGAGGCTGCCCTGAAGAACATGATGAAGACCGTCATTCGTGACAAGAGCAAGATTGAGGAGACCATCATCAACTTGAACGAGTACAAGAAGGAGGCCCTCCACAAAACGTGGACTAAGGTCACAGCCGACTTTGGACAGATCTTCAACGACCTGCTACCCGGCAGTTTTGCCAAGCTGGAACCCCCTGAGGGCAAGGATATCACCGAAGGTCTGGAAGTCAAGGTGTCTCTGGGCAAGGTCTGGAAGCAGAGTTTAACCGAGCTCAGTGGTGGACAACGGTACGTGAATTTCCGTTGGGTTACTCTTTCCTGGCTACGAGCTAACATTTGTCTAGGTCTCTCATTGCGCTTTCGCTAATTATGGCGCTACTACAATTCAAGCCGGCGCCAATGTACATTCTGGACGAGGTTGATGCCGCTCTGGATCTGTCGCATACCCAGAACATTGGTCGGTTGATCAAGACGCGATTCAAGGGATCGCAGTTCATCGTTGTGTCGCTGAAGGACGGCATGTTCCAGAATGCCAACCGGATCTTCCGCACAAGGTTCAGCGAGGGAACCAGTGTGGTCCAGGCCTTGACTCCTGCCGACATGAAGTAGACCTCAAGCTGGGATTGTTATTCTTCATTTGTCGATATTGCGTTGGTGCATATGGGTCTTTTGGTTTGGACATTGGACATGGCGCGTTACGTGACAGGCCAGGAGGTTGGGACGGGGTGTTTTCGGATGATGTATATGATTCTGGATGATTCTGCAGTTCTACACCGTACTCTTATGAGATATGTTAATGACGGACGCAAGGAGATCTCCGTAGAGACAGCGGTAGGATGCAATAAGTGGTTGGAGGCTGGAGTGCTGGTAACTTGCTATAAGAGGCGACCGACTGCTCGCATCATCTGCCACAACATTAGTTGAATGCCAGCAAGACACGGCCTTACTCGGTTCTCTGCCACCCTGTCCAGTCGAGTCAATCGCCGTTCTTCTTCCCCTTTTCCTGGTGGGGGGAGTTTATTTGCTTTTTCCTCACCTTTTTCCCCTGGCCAATCGCCCCGAAACTCAAGCACCGCCGCAGTCGGTGGTCAACGTGCCCGCCCCGATCCGGCCGGGATCCGATTGTCCCACCGCCACCTCGCCGCTTTCCCCCCAAACGAACTGCCGCGGCATCACTCCTCCATCATCCCCAGCATTATATTCAACGCCGCCTTGTTTTGGGCTTCGAGCTAAAACTCCCCTACTCCGTTGATTCCAAGGCGGTCGCATACGCCAGTTTCGAGTCGCGACTCCCCATCTGACCCAACCAACAGTCCACGTTTCGTCCTATACCCGCTACCTCGCCCAGAGAGATCCTCACAACAATGCCAGAAGAAGAGCCGTCCCTGAATATCCCCTCCCTCCTCACCCTCGCCGTGGTGTCATTCTTTGTGCTTCGATGGTTCCTTAACCGCGATGGGGGAGAGGCCGGGCCAGGCAGCAGTCGCAGTCGGCCGCGAGGCACCGTCGACCCAGCCCAAGTCGAGCAAATATCCCAGATGTTCCCTCAGCTCAGCGCCCGTGAGATCATGTGGGATTTGCAGCGCAACGGGGGTAGTGTTGCGGCGACGACGGAGAGAATCCTGACCGGTCGGGGGCTGGAAGTGGTGAGTCTTTCCCCTCATTCCTATCTCACTTTGATGCATGTAGACCTGCGGCCGCTGGTCTTTCATTATCTTCTCGACTTTCTTCCCCTTTCTCGTTCCCCGCATTGAGTCAGATGCATGGCCAGCTAACCGAACCTACCATGTAGCCGCCCCCCTCCTTCCAACCTCAGATTGCGATCCCCAATACAGCACCCGTGCAGTCACAACCTACCCAAACGGCAACCTCTAAGGCCGATGCCCAGGATCTGATCTCCCGATACAACCTCCGCGCGAAACTCGAGGCCGAGAACAGCGCCGCTGAGTCCGCACCGTCGCAGGCTTCTTCCACTACGGGCTGGTCGCAGAGCAAGGAGGAGCGCCAGCGCTTGCTGCAGAAGCGCAGGGACGAGATGATTCTGGCGGCGCGGAGGAAGATGATGCAGAAAGATCAGGCTGCTCAATGAAGTTAGCCATGCTATATCGTTCGTGGGGACTGGAAACTTGGAACTAACTCTCTGGGGCCCCGGTATTGCGCGTCATAGGGGCAGGCAGATTGACGGCTTACGCGAAGGGGGGGGGGTTTTCATCTATGCCTTTCATTCTGTATTCAGTTGGATTACTTTTGTGTGCTTCTTCGATCTCCTTCGGGTTGTTATATACCTCTTGTTGCCGGCGTTGGGGATGTGTAAGATTCAATCCATTGTTATTGGCATATCTGTTGTTGTTTTCATTTGTCTTTCGGAGATTGACTTGTCATGTCTTTTTTTCTTACTATCTTCCCTCTCCTCTCTCTCATCTTAAGCTGAGCGTCGCATGCATCTGGTGTTTTTGATAGGGGGATATGATCAGGACTACTTACTACCTATCTACTACCTGCTTACTAGCATGACCCCCGGCCCGTCAACCAAGTAACTTCCAATCAATGATTTAGGGTATATATAACATACATGCGTCTGATGTATGTGCGATGCCAATATGATCATGTCCCGCCATGTCCCATACATATATAGACTTGACCCCGATAACTCCCATCATGAAACAAACACTGAACAATGAACCAGCCCACGCATTGCAAATATAAGAACGAGGGGAAAGAATGAGCAGAAACATCTAAAACTCCATTTCATCATCATCATCCTGCGTCCCATCATACCCTCCATTCGCCATTTCCTCCGCCATCTCTTCTCTCCTCGCCTGTTCCTTCGATGCCCCGATGCGCCTATCAACATGACTCGTTAGCAATCCGCGGACAACATGTTAAAACAAAGAATAGAGGAAGTGGCAAGAGCATACCTCAGTTCATCCACCACCCCCGCAATGAACCTCCTCCCCTCTCCCAACTCCATAGCTCCCACACCCGTCAACGCAACACCCCCACCACCCATAGCCGCCGCATCCAGAACATCCACACCAGCCCTAACCTTCGCCATCCGTACCTCTCTCAGCTCCTTCAACAGTCGTCTTGTCTGATCCGGATCTACTAGATCATCGCTCGCCGCCTCCAGCAACATCGTCCCTACCTCCAACCAATGGAACGGTAGTGCCGGCGGCTCCCCCGGCGGAATGTGATCGCGTGCTGTGTTCTGAGGCAGAAACGGCGGTGCAGGGTAGTATTTCTCGCCGGAGGGGGTGTAGCGCGGTGTCGCGAGCGGAGCGCGACGGTGATCGCCTGGGGCGGGCTGGCCGGGCAGTGGAGGCGGCGGGGAGAAGGCGTGCTGGTATTCGTCGTTTTGCGTCTCGATTTCGAGGATAAGTTCGAGGGATTCGGGGTGGAGCCAGGGCGGGGGGAGGATGTTGGCGCGGCGTTGGCGTTTGAGGAGGAGGGCGAGCCAGAGGGGGAGGGAGGTGCGTCGGGGTGGGAGGAGGGGGGAGACGGGGCCCTATTTAAGGAGGAGTTATTAGTTGGGGTCAGTAGGGTAGGATAATTGTATAAGACGTACTCCTAGTAATTCAAGCCCCTCGAGTCGCTGACGAGGCAAGATGGTGACCATCTCCATCTCCGCGAGGAAGGAGATCTCCGGGGGCGTGATGCCCCGCGGGAGGGGAAAGGCCATTGACCCTCACGTTTGCGCGTGGATTGGCCGGGGAAAATGAGTTAGGGACGTGTCGGGGCAGTCGGAGAAGAGTATTCCATGCCCCGGAGTTACTTTGCGGACCGAATGAAAGAAGGGGAAGCTTGAAGTTGTTCATTCAAATTCAATCGCGATGGGCGTCGATTGCCCGATGCGGTGTGTTTGTTCGGTTTGCATTGCAAGCTTGCATTTCCGTTTGTGTCTTTTAGATTATTTGATTTATTCTTCTTCTCCTGTTTCACACTTCAATTGTCGAGAGCATGGTTAACCTCCTGCCTAAGCATTGACCGACATGAATGCGCAACCCAAGTCGGGCGTGGCTTTGGCCGCCCGCTACGCCATTCCTTTTGTTCTTCTGTTGATCCCCCTTTGGATGATGAGGATCAATGCCGTCGTTCCCGAACCGTATCTGGATGAGGCCTTTCATGTCCCCCAGGCTCAGGCCTACTGGGCTCATAAGTGGACGCATTGGGATCCCAAAATCACTACCCCCCCGGGCATTTACCTTTGGTCGTATGTGCTGTGCGCGATCGCGCTCTTCCTGCGCGGTTCCCCCACACAGCTTACCCCGGAAGCTTTGCGTGCGACCAACGTGGCAGCCACCGCCGTAGCTCTACCGTTGCGATTGCAGACATTGTTGGATCGGCTGCGCAGGGTGCGCAACACCCGTCCCTCTGGAGCATGGCTGAGCCATACTGTTTTGAACATCTGCCTCTTCCCGCCGCTGTTCTTCTTCTCCGGCCTATACTACACCGATATTCTTGCGCTGCTGGTGGTCATTGAGGCGTACAACTGGGACCTGAAACGCTCGTCGGAGGGTGGGTTTGCGCCGCTCTCGACGTTGGTGTTTGTCGTGCTGGGGCTGGTAGCGCTGGTCTTCAGACAGACCAACATCTTCTGGGTGGCGATCTTCCTGGGTGGACTGCAGGTCGTCCGGCGGTTGAGGTTGTCTTCTAAGAGATGCGAGGCGTCGGGATTCGCGGATATTGCTCGGGCGGGGTGGAAGAATGAGCTGTATGATCCGTTTGTTTCGGACGCTTCGATTGCAGGTTAGTATGGTCTCTGTGGTGTGTTGATAGTATTGCTGACTGGAGTAGACTACTTCAAGGCGTCTATTTCGCTGGTGGTTGTTGCCTTGAACAACTTCGGCTCGGTGATTAGCTCTGCTATTCCGTACCTGCTCATACTTGCCGGGTTTGGTGGCTTCGTGCTCTGGAATGATGGTGTCGTTCTCGGTAGGTCCACTGGTCGTGTTGTAAGTGCTAGACTGACAGCTGCAGGACACAAGGAGTACCATACTGCTGGGCTGCATCTGCCCCAGATGCTCTACATCTGGCCCTACTTCGTCTTCTTCTCTTGGCCACTCCTCCTCTCGCCGGTCGTCAACTTGGTTCTCCCGAAGTCGCTTCTGCCCAAGTTCATCGACTTTGGTTTCCCAAAGAAGCAAAAGGGCCTTCCTAAGCTGTTGACGGCTCTTGTTGTGATCCCCATTATGCTGGCCGTGGTTCATTTCAACACCGTCGTCCATCCCTTTACCCTTGCCGACAACCGTCACTACGTCTTCTACGTCTTCCGTATCCTGCTGCGCATTCACCCTGCTATCAAGTATGCTGCTGTTGCGGTGTACTTCCTCTGCGCGTGGATGGTCATCTCCGCCTTTGGATTCACGACGATTTCTACGCCTCCCCAGTTGATGCGTGTCCCGCAGACAGCAGTCCGCCAGCCGGAGCCAGTGCCAGTACCTCAGAAAGAGCCCAGCCAGAAGAAGGCCGAACGCCGGAAGGCGGCAAAGAAGCCCGCGCAGCCGCCCATGCCGGAGCCAATGTCGTTCGATGCGTACGCCAAGATCCAGGAGCACATTGCGCACCGGCAGAAGCAGCATCAGGGTACGCCGCAGGTGAGCTTTGTGCTTGTCTGGCTGGCGGCCACGGCGCTGTCGCTCATTACGGCGCCGCTCGTCGAGCCGCGCTACTTTATCATTCCGTGGGTGATGTGGCGGCTGCATCTGCCACCGCAGCCGACGCCTCTCGTGCACCGGCAGCGGGCGCGCGATGCAACTGAGGAGCTGAATGCGAAGGTTGCCACGAACATGGCACTGTTCCTGGAGACGTATTGGTTCTTGGTGATCAACGCGGTGACGGGATACATCTTCCTGTACTGCGGGTTTGAATGGCCCCAGGAACCGGGAAAGATCCAGCGGTTCATGTGGTAGACTTGTAAAAGTGTATATTGTATAATAGTGTAGTAATAGTTATATATAGATCTGAATAATTTCGTGGTTGTGAAGCAAGCATTCTGCGTATGATGTTTAGCGATATCCAGATGTAACCGGTATGCTATCCGCTACCACCGCAACTCCCTCACCACTTTCTCACTTCATTCCAACCGCAACATGGAAGAACCAGACCGGCCAGCAAAAAGGGCCAAGCTGTCCCCCAACATAGACCATGCAGACAATGACTCTACACAAAGGACCAACAGCAGTAGCAATAACAGTAACAACCACCCCCTAGCATCCCTGCACCGCTCCATAACACCCCCAATACTCTCCCGCTCCAAGGGATCACAAACAGCGCCTCAGCCACAACCGCAACACAATGCCACCCACCCAGCATCACCCAGCACGCAGACCACGAAAGATGAGAATCATGCAGAAACAAAACAGGACAATATAATTCCCTCTCCCATCCAACTAACCCACATCCGGGACCTCCCCGCCTCCTCAGGCCACAACACCGACACTGTCCGACTACGTGACATTCTCGGCGATCCATTGATCCGCGAATGCTGGCAGTTCAATTACCTCTTTGATGTGGACTTTTTGATGAGCCAGTTTGATGAGGATGTGAGACGGCTCGTCAAGGTGAAGGTTGTGCATGGCTCGTGGAAGAGAGATGCGCCGAATCGTCAGAGGATTGATGTATGTCCCTTTTCTTCATTATCTTGTTTCCAATTGACTTATATGATTTGAATACATGGGATGAGACTGTGCTAATAATATCAATAGGAAGCATGTACGCGCCACCCCAATGTCGAGGCAATAACTGCCTACATGCCCGAAGCGTTCGGGACGCATCATTCCAAGATGATGATCTTGTTGAGACATGATGATTTGGCTCAGTATGTATCCTCATTGTCCACCTATGTTTGTAGCAAAGCTAATGAATGAATACAGAGTGGTCATCCATACGGCAAACATGATCGCAGGCGACTGGGCAAACATGTGCCAGGCCGTGTGGCGATCGCCTCTTCTCCCATTATGTTCCAATAGCAGTGGGAGTGAGAGTATAGCTACCCCTGGGGCACGATTCAAACGTGACCTTCTCTCGTATCTAAGAGAATACGGGCCGAAGAAGACCGGTCCGCTTGTCGCGCAGTTAGAGAAACACGACTTCGGCGCTGTCCGCGCAGCATTGGTTGCTAGTGTTCCCTCGAAGCAGAAGATCCGGGAGTCGACTGATTCGACCCGGAAGACGCTGTGGGGATGGCTAGCTCTGAGGGATGTATTGCGGTCGGTTCCTATTGATCGTTCAGAGGATAGACCGCATATTGTAACTCAGGTAGGTTGATTTCTATCACTGGGACTGCCTTGGGGTCCCTACTAACGAGGTATAGATTTCCTCCGTCGCCTCTCTCGGCCAAACAGACAAATGGCTCAAAGACGTCTTCTTCGCGTCCCTCTCACCATCATCAAATAACCCCAAACCAAGATTCTCGATCATATTCCCTACACCCGACGAGATTCGCCGCTCCTTGAACGGCTACGGCTCAGGCGGCTCCATTCACATGAAGCTGCAGAGCGCCGCACAACAAAAGCAGCTGCAGTACATGCGGCCGTATCTGTGTCATTGGGCTGGAGATGTGGCTGAGGACGAAGCGAAGGTGAAACGAGAAGCAGGGCGCCGTCGCGCGGCACCGCATATCAAGACGTATATCCGGTACTCATCGTCGGAGATGGACCGGATTGATTGGGCGATGGTGACGTCGGCAAATTTGTCAACGCAGGCGTGGGGAGCGGCGGTGAATGCCAACGGAGAGGTGAGGATATGTAGTTGGGAGATAGGGGTTGTGGTGTGGCCGGAGTTAGTCACCGGTGCTGGTGCTGAAGGGAGGAGTGTGATGGTGCCTTGCTTCCGGAGGGATGTGCCCGATGCAGATGCGGTTGCGGCTGCAGGTGCGGCTGCAAATGCAGATGAAAAGGAAATTGCTACGACAACTACTAGAGTTGGCTTCCGAATGCCCTACGACCTACCGTTGACGAGGTACAGCGAGACGGATATACCCTGGTGCGCGACGGCCAGTCATAGCGAGCCGGACTGGCTGGGACAGACGTGGGAGGGTTGACCCCATACTATCCTCATCCTTTCCATATACCATCCATACCAATATTTAGATCTCAAAAATCAACGATGACTATGCAAGCAGCTCAATAGCCAGTAAGTTAGTTGAGTAGTAAGTAGCTCATAACTCATCTCATCTTGCTAATAGACAATGCATCCACCACATGATACCCCTTTCATATATGATCTTGTAGGTTTATTATAACAATCTACTCCCTCGTTCCGATCTTCTCAATCAGAGTGTCAACCTGCTTGATGTACTCGGCCTGGGCCTTGGCCTCGCTGATGTCCTTGATTTCCTTCCATGCGTTGTACTTGTACTTGCCCTATACCATCATACCAGACATATTAGTCTCACACTTATACAAAGAAAGAGAGAGAGAGACAATAGAAATGAATATACATACCTGGATATCGAACATGCCAGGAGAAGCAGGAGTCTGGTTGTTGGCGCGCTTGAAGTACTTGTAGAGCTATACACAGACAGAACACATTAGCATCATCTTCCACACATTCATTCCCCTCCCTCCAAAGATATCGATCCATAGATGGAGGGGCGAGGGGTTTGGGGGATGTACTCACCACCAACTTATCCTCATTACCAGGCTCCGAGTTCAGCATCTTGACGACCTCAACAGCGAACTCAAAAGCGTTCTTCAGGGCAACAGCCAGCTCGCCCTCAACGGAGGTGGTGTCATCACCACCAAGGACGGTCTCGATGGCGGCGAAGAAGGCGGAGCTGTCGACCTTGGCAGCGGCGGCCTGGACCTCGGGGGTGAACTTCTCCTTCTTGATGGAGGCGTCGAGGGCGGCGGAGAAGTTGGGGACGGACATTTTGACTGTGTGGGTTTGTTTGGTGGGAGGAGTTGATGGAGTGTGGTTTGGAGGAAGTTGGTAGTTGGGGTTGGAGGGGTAGTAGGTAAATATGGCGGATGAAGAGGGGAAGAAGAATGAGTGAGTTGAGGGAAAGTGGGGGGATTTGTTGATTTGGTGGGGGAGCTGTACTCGGCGGGTTATTGGTTAGATTACTTTCTCAGGTGACTACTTACTATGTATTTTATTGACTTATACTACTGAGTATTATTTGACTATTTGTTGATCATTGCAATAGTATGGGATTTTGTTTTTATGTGGTTATTGCCTGATTTGTTGGTTTAGTTTTGGTGGTTACTTGATGGGATGTTGTTGGCTCAACTGTTGAGTGCCAGGGTTTCTGGATATGTTATGGATGGGAGCTTTGGTGCATATCAGCTACATAGCTTAGCATTGAAGGTCTTTTTTTACTGTCATATCTGATTTATGCTAGAACATAGCAGAATGCATAGCTCTATACAATGTCCCTTATTATTATTGTGTCCGTCTTCTTAGCTGGAAATGATGTTTCTCGATGTACCCTAGCAAGATCACCACGACGATGGATCATACATGCCAACTGCTCTGCGGGCTAGGTAAGAGAGACTCCATTCAATGCTCGAAACTTCACTCCATTATTAACTAGATGCCATTGGGAAGTCCCGAACAAAGCTCACTAAATTCCTCCACGGACTCGCCTTGTCTGGATGCAACGTCACTCGATAACCCCCAGCAGTCTTTGGATGACTTCATGAATCGGCGAACCTAGAAGTACGCTCGACATGGTCAAAAGAACAGCTCTCAGTTAACGAGAAAAGTACATTCCAATGTTTGCTGTCGATTCCAGGAACAAAGTAGCCCGTACTTACGAGGTATGCTCCCTACCATCTACAAATCATTTACTGCTTCTAACCTCGCAGCAGAATGCCCCCAGTCTCCTGGAAACGCGCAGACGTAGCGCCCGACCAAGGACAAATCCTTCTTTACAGACGGAGAAAACCTCAGCAAATGTCACTCCAACCGTGCGAGGGATTCCATGTCTGTATGGAATGAGCGAGTGGCTACAGACTCTCGGACATTCGGTAGGCCCCCAACTTACGACAGAAATAATGCATTTGCTTACTAGATACAGGACACAGATATATCTCGCCTAAACATTGTCCACGTCACCGGAACAAAAGGCAAAGGCAGCACATATTCTCCACGCACATGGGCTGAGATCCGGCTTTCCTAGTAAAATCGGTCTCTACACATCACCTCATATACAATGCATTCGAGAAAGAATCCAAATACACAGCAACCCCATCACTGAGAACCTATTCACAAAATACTTCTTCGAAGTATGGGATACTCTTATGGATACCAACATCCAAAACGCAGACACAACACAGCAATCACCTCGCTACCTGCAACTCCTCGCCCTGCTCGCTTTCCACACCTTCATCCGAGAGAACGTCGACGCTGCAATAATCGAAGTCCACCAGGGTGGTGAATTCGACGCTACGAACGTCATCCAGAACCCCGTGGTCACAGGCATCACTTCCCTAGGACTTGACCACCTTGACCAGCTCGGCCCTACACTCGAATCCATTGCATGGCATAAATCGGGGATTATCAAGCCAGGTGCACCTGCATTATCTGTCCCACAGGAAGCTAGTCCCTCTGAGGTCCTGCACGCTCGTGCCGCGGAGAAGAATACTTCATTAACTATTGTCCCGCTGAACCCTAATCTCCCTACTGACAGTAACGTGTTGGGGATTCCCTCCAGCGACTAAACTGCTCCCTCGCCCTTGAGCAAGCCAGGAAGGACATTTTGAAAGCCAAAGCACCCGACCATGTAATCGAGCCTGAGGATATATCTACCGCTATGAGAGACATCTCCCTAATCGGAAGATTCGAGATCATCGATGACCCAGACGGACAATCACAATGGTTCGTAGATGGCGCACACAACACGCTTAGTCTTGAGAAAACGGCGGAGTGGTTCTCGGATATTACCAAGAGGTCTGCGGAGCAAAAGTCAGTATATATTTCCTATTTCTTACGAAGTATTGAAAGTAACCAAACAACTTACCCAAATGAACTAATTATACAGACACCGAATCCTAATCCTCAGCCACTTCTCCAAAGACCGAGACGGCCTAGCGCTCCTAGAATGCTTAGCAGAATCTCTCACCGAGCAAGACGCGCTGCCAGATCATGTTATCTTCACTACTTACATTGAACGAGCAGACAAATCTGAGAAGATGGATAAAGGTGAGGATCAGATTAACTTCCCTATCTTATCTCTCACTAACTAGAGATGTATAATGAAATAAAAGATATACTCCCCGCCACCCTCCCAGATCTCAGCGTGCTATCTTTGTTCGCTGAAAAATGGAAAGCTACCGTTCCTCGAGGCACGAGTTTAATCTCGACTAAGGAGACCATTGAAGAAGCGATCGACACAGCAAGGAGTATCGGTGCACAGCAGGATGGTAGAGCGCAGGTCTCGATTACGGGGTGTTTCTTGTTGGTTGGCGGGGTGCTTAATATATTGCGTCGTTCGTGAGAGGCTATTTTTACAAAGTCAATACCAAAGTAGTTCGTGATGTGGGTGTTGATAACCTCTAGTAAATATGAGAAGTTTAAGGAATAAGTACAAATCATAGTGACTACTGCCTGTCTGACGTAAACACAGCATGTTAGGTCTGAAAACAGATATATTGGTAATCAAAATGGATGAATGGAAGGTGACCTTCCAACTAGGAAGACTACGCATACAGACCCTTACAGTAATTCATCTGTCAATAAAATATGGAATAACTAGTATACACTGTATTACTCTAAAACATAGTATACAAGCATATATCCTGTTAATGGTATCAAGTAGTCTACTACCAACGCCATGCTAATCATACTATTTGTGCAATCAATTACCAATCCACCGCCCACCCATTCTTATCCAGGAACTCCTCACACGCTGCCTTCAACGCATAATTCGGCCGAAGATCGTTCACCGTCATCGGCACCCGCGTGATAGGATCAACCTTGGCCTGCTCCACGTACTTGGTGATGCCGACCCGGTCAAAGCTGGTCCCAGAAGGTGTAATAACAGGGTCGTGCATAATCTCAAATGTAATTCCGTCCACCAGATAATCAGGTACAACCTACACCATATCATCAGCACAACCCACCAGCAACTCGCAAAAGGAACTTCAGAACTTACCCTCTCGACCACCTTCCCCTCCGACGCAATCCCAAACACCTCCCTCACCCTCTGCACCTTCCGTTCAGCATCCTCTCTAATCTCCCTCTCATCCTCCCTGAACCCAATATCCCCAATCTCCCCCTTCTCCAACCGCGCCTTCAACTCCGACACTCCCCTCTCCACCTCCGCCTCAATCAGCCCTTCCACACTCGCCAACGTCTCATCCAACTCCCTTATCCGCGCCGTCTCCTTGGCCGCCCAAATCGCCTGCTTAGCGCGCAACACCGTCCGCGACAAATTCTCCGTCTGGATATTCTTCGCCGCCAGACTCGCCTTATACGCCTCAATGGCTACGTCGTATGCTTCCTGAGGCCGTTGCAGGCCCAACAGCGCTTGTGCCAGGTACCAGGAGGATTTCAAACTGGTGGGGGATTTGGCGCCGTAGAGATCGATGGCGGCGCGGGCGTCGTGCTCGACTCCGGCCCAGTTTTCGAGTCGGATGCGGGTCAAGGCGCGGTTAGAGAAGAAGGTGGGTTCTTTGGGATTCTTGAGGATTCTATTTGTTGTAGATATCCATTGGTTTTTAGTAGGAGTTCTTAGATTTATTTCATTGGGGGTGGTGGATGTGGATAGCGGGGTAAGTGGGATATATGCTCACGCTTGTGAATACATCTCCTCGGCGCCATTGTAATCGCCTTCTTTAAAGAGCTGGTTGCCCTTTTCTTTTAGTTCGAGAGCCATGTTTGCTGTGCTGTGGTATGAGGTGTTGTGTGCGCTGATGTGTTGTGCACACACTGATTTGTGCTGTAAATGACAACGGGATTCTCCCCTTTTTTTTGTTTCCGTGACGATTGTGTTTTGTCAGCTGGAAAGAACGAACGAAGGAACGAACGAAGAAACAGCGCTTCGGATGTCGGATGTGTGGGGCTGCGCAGTGATCTCCACTGTTGTTGAGGGAAGTAGATGGTGACTGGATGTGCTAGGGATTCTATCCGTTCTGTCTAGCGGGTAGTGGATGTGGAGTGGATTTCAATGCAGTGGGATGATTGATGATAGTAGCAATGGAGGCTTGATGTTGTGAGAGCATGGATATTCTGGTCAATCCACAAGTATAAGTATCCAGGTAAGTAGTACTGTTGTTCAGCTACCCCTCTTGGGACCTGAGATCTTTGTTGGAGGTTCAGTCAGGAATGAAATTGATGAGCTCGGGTGAGCTTTCAGTCGTGATCCACACAGCCCTGGTGTCGGGACGGCACGTTGGGTTCTCCATCTCCTTCAATTGATGTTCGATTTTATGCCTGTTCCTGTGCAGTGGGAAAAGACGTGGGTTGAGCAATCGAAGGTGATCGATCCCCGCAGAATCCAGATGAGTCAGCAGTTGTGAGTGGGTAACTAGCAAATGTTGGGGAGAGTGTTAGCAATTGCCATTATGGGAATTGTTGTAGTTACTTCGTTGACTACAGTTAACCTTGATGATATAGACGATCGTCTACAAAATAGAAGACATTTGGAGCAATGTGATATATTTTTCTACCTACTGCTCTAATGAAAGATTGGCCGGCCAAATCATTCTGTACACTCGTGGTATCGTTGACTCGTCGGATATTAGAAGGGAAAGGCCCGGATCCAGCCGTACCAGATCGCTTCGCTCAAAAAATAAGAGGTGAAAGGAAGCTATAGTTTATAGTAACACGCCGGAGATTATGGCGCTGCCGCTGCCACTTCGGTGTGGCTGGTGCTCATGTCATGCCGCACGGACAAGGAACATCGTAGTACTGGATTGACTGGGTTGACTGACTGACAGACGATCCAATCTTAAGCAGTACCGGCGAGTTCCTTCTCGTAGTCGGAGATGGCCTGCACCTTGGCGGCGGAGGCACTCTTGGGGTCGAAGCGGTAGGTCACCCACTCGTTGGCGAGCTTCTTCGCAAGCTCAATGCCAATAACGCGCTGGCCAAAGCAGAGCACCTGGGCGTCGTTGCTAAGGATGGAGCGCTCGACGGAGAAGGAGTCGTGTGCTGTCACGGCGCGAATGCCGGGCACCTTGTTGGCGGAGATGGCGACACCGAGACCAGTGCCGCAGATGAAGAGACCACGGTCTGCCTTGCCCTCCTTGATGAGTTTGGCACCAGCGACAGCCGGGTGAGGGTAAGCAGTCTTGTCGGAGGTGGAGTTGACGCCCACATCTTGGATGGACTCAACCAGAGGGTTCTTCTCGAGAGCAGCCTTCAGGGTCTCCTTGTAGGGCTGGCCGGCCTCATCGCAGGCCATGACGATGCGGAGGGGCTTCAGATCGGCAGACATGGTGAAAAGTGTGGAAGGAAGTAGATGTATTCAAGAAGTATTGGTAGTGAGTGGAGCGTGAAGTCCCAGACAAGTGACTGTGGCTTGAAGTAGATAGGAATGATGATGGAATAGTGATGAAAGAGAGGGTTGAAGATGGAAGACAAGGACCTTTTTATACCTTTTTCTCCAGCTCTCCTTCTCCTTCTCCTTCTCCCCTCCTATTGTTCCCCTCCATTCCCCAAAGTACTTTCCGATCGAAAGGTCCGATGCAGTGGGGAGAAAAAGGCCGTGCCGTGCCTCCTGGACCCAAAGTTCGGTGGTAGACGCCAATTCGGTTTGGCGACACGCATGTCCCAATGGCCGTTACGAACCAGCACTGATTATCCCTCATGCTTTTTTTTCTCGTGTTTCATGCGCGACAGCAGCGATAGACACTAGTGTCGCACCCCCCACAGCTAGAGGCGATCCAGAGAAGCCGGTTTTGGGCCGGACCATGTTTGGTTCTGGCAGATCCACTCATGGCGTCATGCATTCTTACATTTCTCAAAGGTTGTTTTGCTGCGACTGCCTGCAAGCGGAACCAATAGCATTGAGTCCGGATTGGCGATCCCTTTCGGACAGTTTAGGAGGATTTTCAGCCAGTGACAGCCATATTGGTATGACTGTCTACAGTACCGACTATCATCTACTGAATACTGTTACTGTGATATCTTTCTCTTCCGACTTAATCTCTACGGTGAAGTTCACCGGGAATAGTTCCATCCCGCTCAGCCGAATGATGTCAGCCCGCCCTTTGTTCTCCTCCTTTTTCTTCTTCCCTTTCGGTTCTGTTGCATCGCCATTCGGAACCGACTCCAGATTGCCCCGGGATTCTCCTCCATCCTTTTCCCCCTTGTTGGATGTCTTGGAAGTTTGGTAACTGGTCAGGTCCGCGGCCAAGCTAACCGGGTTGGGGGAGAGGGGGAACTGCATGCCCGCGCACTATTATCGGCCTACTTGGCCTATTCAGGAAGCCTATACAGGCATTCTTTGCCGCGGATTCAGATTTCTCTGGGCAACTGCCCAATACATAGAAGTATACCGAGATGAAGAAGAGGGGGGCGGGAATGAGTGTGGGCTCATCCGGGATAGCATCGGTGTTGTATTAGTTCCGAGGCACCAATCGATTCTGTGATAGACGTGGGATTGACAGTAGAGTATCTTAGACGAAGATAGGATACTAAACACACAGCAACAGCAGCGGCATGAAAGTCCCCTTGTCACCAGAATGACAAGTCAAAGGATAAGTCCGTTGATCTGAGAATGGCTCATGTGGCATGCCCGTAGGAGGCTCAATCTCAGCCTTTCTACCATCTTGTATACCAACTATGCCGTTGTTGTCGCAGGATTATTCTGGGGTCAACGGGCCACGGCAGGCAGCGAACAGCAAGTGGAGGATCCCATCCGTATCAAAGCGCATGGTTGTTAGCCCGTTACAGATAGTCTAATCTAAACCAGTCAGTTCACGGGAAGAAAGTAGGACTATTAAACTCCTCCCAAGTAAGTAAGTGCAATTAGGCTGGTTGACTTTCAAATGGTGGTAGTTCAGTTTGCGCCATTGACGCGTTCCAACGTCCAAACTTGAGATTCACCAAATTTTGGCTGTTGCTCTGCCTTGTTCTCTCACCATCCACGCACCACAATCAAACCCCAAAGGTTGTCTCTTTTGAGCGATTAATACAGACCATACATACCTCGAGTAATGTTGTTCTTTGCAAGATACTCAAAACAGTCCAGGCTGGGCTCTCGGAAGTCCAAACGAGGTTACAACTGCAAGCCCCACCACTTCCCACCATCCCCACTCGACTAGTGTTTTACTGGCTTCTGATAGGACTTTAGTTACCATTGGTGGCCCGCTGACGTCCGATCGATGGAAAGTGACAAGTCATACCGTTTCCAGGGGATCCAGAGACCCCCGGGTAACTTACTGTATCACGGAAACCGATGAGGTCTAAGCGGACCAGTCGGAAGCTGTCTTTGGGGACAACTTCATTTCCGGTCGATTTTGTATCTTTCCATTCTATGTCTCAATCAGGCAGGCTCTGCTGTCCTGCAAGCCGAGATTCTTGCGTGTGTTTTGGCTTCCCTCTTCCGACTCGTGTTATTCCCACCTTCTCATTCAAGCCTCTCTCTAATGTGCAGAGTGGCTTGCACCTTCGTACTTTCTTGCTCCCCTACTGTTAATTTACCCCTTCCTGACAACATTTAAAATATCAAGGTTCTTAAAATACCACACTAATCACACGCCAATTCCCCAGGTTTCCCATGGCTGGTCTGACATCACTGGATGGAGATGCACCTCGCGTGGGCCGATCATCGTGTCTCCTCTTTTTCCCTCCTAACACTAAACTGTGAAGGGGATACCGGTTGCATGCTAAACTAGGCCCCAATGAAATTGTCCGCGGCACAGCATGGCTACTAATTCCGTGGTCGACTGATTGGCACCGCCCCTCTTTACCCTCCGTTGTCTCCTCCTGAGCTATTTCTGTTACGCTGATTCAGCCTCTCTCGATTCTAACGCTTTCGATCGAATCTCAGACCCAGCAGCCGTCACACAATATCCTTCTCCATCAACACATTACTCTACGCTCGAGTGGGTGCCCTCATTATCATAGTGGAGCTTAGTAGTCTCAGGTTCAGACAACTAACCTCGTTGGCCAGTCTATACCAGTGGAGACCGGTTGATCGTGTTCTGATTGCTACGGAAATCACTTTCGAAGACCATCATTCACCGGTCCCATCCCTTCATTACACCGGTGCCTGAAGTCACCCAACATGGCGTCCCAGCAAGCCTATCCGGTTCTCCCAAAGAACCTGCTCATCATCTCGTTGAAGATGTACTTCACACCCACTCGTACGCTCGACTACTGCCGGGCCCTGCTCGACCCCAAAAATGATATTGTCCGCCCGGAGAACCGCTCCAAGCTGTTGCTGGCCCTCATCCCCGACTTTCTGACTGTCTACCCCTGTGCGGAAATTATCAAGGCATGGGAATCCACTTTACCGAAGGATGACACCCCTTCACTGCCGGCTCCATTCCTGCTTGGGGCTCAGGATTGCTTCTGGGAGCCCCTCGGCGCATACACCGGAGAAGTTTCGCCGTTGGCGCTCTGCTCGATGGGGGTGTCCATCGTCGAACTTGGGCACGCAGAACGCCGCGCCATCTTTGGCGAGACAGATAATCAGACTGGCCTCAAAGCTGCCGCTGCATGCGCACAAGGTATGGTTCCGCTGGTCTGCATTGGAGAGGTCACTGCTCCCGGCTCCGTAGCCTCGCAAGCCATCGGGCAGGCCGTCAGCGAATGCGAGGTCCAGATCCGGGCTGTCCTCCAGGCCATTCCGGCGGACGCGCCAGTCATCTTTGCCTATGAACCAGTGTGGGCAATCGGGAAGCCCGCCCCGGCGGGTGTAGATCACATATCGGCGGTGGTCGAGGGCATCAAGGCGGTGATTGGCACCCGCGTGGGGGACGTCCGGATCTTGTACGGGGGAAGTGCCGGACCGGGGCTGTGGGGCTCGGGCGGTCTGGGGAAGGCCGTCGATGGCATGTTCCTGGGCCGATTCGCCCACGAAGTCGACGGGGTCCGCAAGGTGGTCAGGGAGGTTGAAGAGACGTTGACCTGATCGTCGGCCTGCTGCTCCGGCAGATGCAGACTCGGGTTACGCTCTCGGACGATACCAAAACACAAGACCAAACATAGTACATCATGAACCACACTACTAGTGTCTACTACTGCTAGATGTGGGGGAAGAATGGGCATCACGCGGAAGAACAGAAAATTTTAGACTGCTAGCAGCCCCTTTCCAAGACCTTTGTGTGATATCCACCATCGTCGGGTATCCTGTTCAGGCAAACCCGAGCAGTATCCATCGTTTAAGCCTTCATTTCCTTCCATGGAGGAATGGGATCTCGAAACAGGCAATGCCGACTTGATCCATTTCCCGGGTCGGATGGATTCATGGATGACTGTGGATCACAACCGAGTCGGTGAAGAGCTTCTCGAAGCTTGCGGGATCTCCGCTCCCAGCGATCTGGGCCCAGATGGATTCCTGCCCGCTCGAGTCCGCGTGAGGTTGAAGAAAATTTCGGCGGGCTGCATGACCAGCTTGTCTTCCCCTCCATTCCGCTGCACGTGTGACATTTGCGGCCTCCTGACCCGACCAGGGGGCCCACTTTATCTGATCGCTTACTGCCAACCCGGTCGGTAGTTTAAATCTAATTTTATTCAGGAAGCTTGAATTGGAAAGCAACGTGTGAGAGCTTGGTCTAGATCCTGGAAGGGGCTGAAGGTGGGCTATTTTCGGTGAGGGTTTAGGGGTCAGGGGTTTGGTGTGCTGTTCATGGCTGCTGTATGAGAAGGAACAGAATGATGAAGAGGATGATGTGGCATTCATGCGCCTCAGGGTAGAGGCACTAATTGCTGCCAGATTATCGAGGCACAGGGTCGTTCACGTCATCCGCTGCATAGCTACCTAGTCAGGGAGCTAGCTTGATGCAGCAGCAGCAGCTAGGTATTTGCTCAGAAATACTAACTAGTGACGAACCCTTATCGACAGTTGAAGCTATCGTTCGTCTGGAGGATTTACCCTACTCTTACTGACTTGCAACATTGATGGACTAACAGGAACAGTTACAGCAAACCTGGCACTTTCTTTACCTACCTTCAGCTAACCCGAACAAGCTTCCCTCTTGACAGTATATTTCGATACTCTGCCATAATTACCCAAAACTAAATAGGCTCCATGAAACTATCTAATGTCAATAGCAATAAAAAGATAAAAATACTCTTATTCTTCTATTTACAATATCACGTCCTCCCTAATCTACGCCTACCTACTAAACAACCACCCATCCCATGAATCAACCCGGTCGCTCCTTTTTAAAATCCCACACATCTAGTACTTAGCTACCAACTTACTTCCTCTCTACTTCTTCTCCTTCATCTCCTCCTTCACCCTCGTCACCGTTCCCAACCCTCCATACGTAATAGCCGTATACATCATCGCAACCGATGCCCCCGCATCAAGAACCTTCCTCGCCTGCGCCCCATTCGTCACACCCCCAGACGCAAAGATAACCTTCCTAGCAGGCAACCCCTCGACAGCCTCACTCACAGTAGGAGGCACATTCTCCACATCCGGCTCCGCCGCCTCAATCGCCTTAGGCACAGCAGCAGCAGCAGCAGCAGCAGCAGGGGCACTAGCATCCAACAAACTCTTATACTTCGCCACCAGCTTCACCGTACGATCAAACAACTGCGGGCCAGAGAACCCGCCCGTCTCCTTCAGGACATCCTGCTCCTTGCTGGGCAGAGTAAATCCCTTAGGGAGCGGCTCCGGACGCCGATTCGTCGTGTTACCCACGATCACACCATCAACGCCGGATCCCCACACCGCGTCACAGATACCGGAGACCTGCTCGTCCGCGTCCTCGTCGGGACTAACCTTGACCATAACAAAGGGCTTGGTCTTGCGATCGATGCTCTTCGCTGCGCCGACAACGGCCTTCAGGATAGCAGTGAGAGGCGCCGTGGCTTGCAAGTCGCGGAGACCAGGGGTGTTCGGGCTGGAGACGTTGACGACCAGGATATCGGCGTACTTGGCGAGACGGTCAACGCAGTAGACGTAGTCGCGCTTGATGGCTTCGATGTCGTTGTCCGGCGTGAGCTTGTTCTTGGCGACTTGCACCGCGAGCAGCTTGCCTTCGCGGAGACTTCCGGGCGGGACGCCGGCTTCGCCGTTCAGGACCCGTTGTTCGGCGAGATCGTGCTCGCCGAAGCCGTGCGCGTAGGCGTAGTCGCGCACGCGCTGTTCAAGGACTGCCGCCATGTGGTCGGCGCCCTTGGAGTTGAGGCCGTAGCGGTTGATCATGGCGTTCTGGGACGGGAGACGGAAGACACGTGGGCGGGGGTTGCCTTCTTGGGGGAGGGGAGTGGTGCCGCCGACTTCGACGATGGCGGGGCCGAGTTCGAATAGAGGGTCGGGGATGTCGGCGTGCTTGTCGAGGCCGCCGGAGATGCCGATCGGGTTGGAGAGGGTGTAGCCGAAGACCTGCGGTGGTGGGTGAGTATGGGAGGTGAGGTTGGGAGGAGGGGAAAGGAGGGGGGGTATACCTCAGTTAGGAGAGCGCCATCGCTGTCGGGGTCGCCACGCTCGCGCGGGTTCAGACCGTACTTGTAGAGGGTCTTCAGGATGTCCACGCCGAAGTGGTGCGCATCTTCGGCGTCGGGGAAGAGCAGGCGGACGAGAGGGACCACGCCGTACCGGTGCACGCTGGCGCGGGTGTCCGTTCCGTAGATGAATCCGGCGAGGAGGGTCAGGGCCAGGGAGGTGCCCCAGATGGTGCGCTTGAGCTTGCGGCCGGTCTTCTTGGGAGCTTCCTTCACGGTTTCCGTGACCTGCGCGGTGGTCTCCTTGGCTGCTTCTTTGGTCTGGGATGCTGCGTCCGAGGAGTAGCGGACTTGACGGAGGAGAGACTCCCGGTGGAGGATTGAGGGCCGCTGAGTAGCGCGGAGAGAGTGAAGAGCAGGTGCTCTGCGGCCTGCGGATCTCCAGGCCAGAGCCACTGCGTTGGTAGCCATTGTGGTGGGGTGGAGTCTAGTGAGGGTGACTGTGAGGGGTAGGGCAATTGACCTAGAAAGGTGTTAGTTTAAGTGTATTTAGAAGGATGCATAGTATG